CGTGGATAGAGATAAGTGTATTATAAAACTGTACAGTTAAACCTGTCTAATCAAAATCCCATTGGAACTGGTCAAAATCCTGTCTGATCTGAATGACAATTTGACTCATGAATATGTTGGTGCTCACATTTAAAGTTTATTTCTTATGCGATTCAATGAGAGATAACAAGACTGGGACCAAGAAAGGGTATTCAAACTGAGAGATGTTCACATAAGAGAGGTGTTCAGGTGTACAGGTTTTACTGTTTTCTTCTTTATTACACTTGGCAGTGATCTCCACAGGATATTTTCTCAAGTGAGTGCAAAAGTCTCATTTTCACAATTCAGAAAAAATTGGTCAAAATATGCCCATTTTTCATAATTTTTCTCATTTTCAAGTGGGTGCAAATTGATTTTCAGGCGGGTGCAAGCCTGTTTCCAAAATTTCAGGTGGGTGCATCACCCACTTGCATGCACCCACTTGCATGCACCCACTTGCTCTAATGCTGGGGAGATCACTGCTTGGTATAATGTACACAATACTCATTTTTAATAAATGTAACTAGTACTTAATACTATGTTATACTTAATATTTAGAGTTTTTAAAAGTTGTTAATTTTGAGTTTTTTCATTGTTAGGTGAAACTTTTGTTGTACAAAATTGTATATTTCGTATTTATACTTCAGATGTTCTTTCATAAAAGTTACTATTTCTGTCGATGGTCTAACTTTTTTGGCAACAGGCACGACATTTTTCCTGGTCGTGTTTGGGTCAAATTGTCCAATGTCTTTGAAGAAAGATGGCAATAGTTTTTCCATAGCTAACAGTGTAAGGTTATATTCCTCTGTTAGACCAATTAGCATGTAATATTTTTCAATGTTATACTTAGCTTTAGGAATTCCATATGACATATCTGAGCAGTTATCATCATGACCACAAAACCATTCAACGTAACTAGTCGGTTTGTTTAACTGATTTAAGAAACATTTTTCATCCAGTGACGAACTGTTCATATTTCCACGAATACATTCCTCGAATGTCTGTTTTTTGTGTTCTGAAAAGAATTGTTTTCTTTGATCTTTTCTAGATTTGCTTCCCATTAATTTAAACATGTAATAGTACCATGATAACGACTGTTCAAGTGGCTCCCTAAGTATATTAAAGTAAATTGGTTGCTGGCATCCGAACATTTCAAAGTCAATAAAATATATGTGCCGATCGAAAACATATTGTTTTGAAGTCACATTACAAAATGCAAATGACTTTATAAAAGCTTGAAGATCTTTGTGTGATAGTTTTGGTTCCCAATATGTTGTAGAATGTACATGCTTAAAATTTTTTCTTAGTCTCATTAGAAAATGAACCATGGTTGAGGAGCCACATTTTGGCATTCTGTTGTAAAAGACCAATTGTTTATTGGCCTTTGAATATAGTCCAAAAGGCTTAGTTTGGTCTACATTCTCATGACTATAGTGATCCACATTATCTTGGTTTTTATCCCAATTATCTTGGATATCATAATCCACTATGTCATTACTGTGGTTGACATGTTTTGGATTGTTCCGATTCATTTTTCGTACATGATCTATATTTTCTCGATTGATAGTATCTTTATTGTTTTGAGTTTTGTTGGGAAATTTGATTTTGACGTTATGTCCCATAATAGTATTATTATTTTGTCTGTTGATATTCCTCAAAGGTTTAATTTTGCCATTTTTTCCATATAAGGAATAAATTGCTATATCTCCAAGCAGAAATATCATTCCAAAAAGGAACACATAAGTCCATCTTATTTGATCTTTCATAATGTTCAAGCCAACAACTTGTTAAAGCTTAGATTATTTACTAGCACAATACAATATGATTAGTATTCAGCCCTTTAAAGGTCGAGTGCCCTTTAATACTAGCACAATTGAAAATGTTGAACAACTAATATACATACTTTTTGTTGCTTGGTTGAATGGCTATTAATCCCAAGTTCCGATGTGTCTCATCAAGACGACGATAGAGTGACAAAGATTATGTCAAGCGGAGTTTATAATTTTTGTGCAAATTTTCTTCTTGGATCGAGAAATTTCAATTAAATTCGATTAACTTACGATAGGTGGCAAAAGTTCTAAAGGTACGGGTAGGTCATATGACACAAAATACGCATCATATGACACGAAAACATTGATTCATTTTTTTTTTTTATAGGTAAATATGTTTTATTTATCAATACTATCATTTCACAATGTCCGACAATGGGCCAAGGCCATTGGCATTAGTGGCCCATGTCGATTTTCACAAATACACATTTATACAATATCTAAAATAGAGTTAAGTAGGCACATAAAAATCAAGTAATTTTAGGCTGCTGAACACTCAGCATGACAATACATATAAGTTACATGTGACATTTTACACCAAATATATAAAGTTAAACATAGTCTACAATTAAAGAAATAAAGTTGGCAGTTGTTGTGACTATAAGCTTGTTAGTTTCAATTTTATATGTTGAGCCACCATATAACAATGTATCTAGTTTCTCTTTTGCATTTAGTTTGTTATAATGGTTAATGTTGAAATTGGGTATCCCTGCAAGGTCGAGTGCTAGTTGTTCCCTGAGATCAAGTAAAAGGGGGCAAGAAAAGAATAGGAATGCAATATTACCCGCCATGCCAAGGATGCATTTTATTAATCAGACAAAATTTTATTGACTGGTGAAATTCAAGCTGAGGATACAATGCAGTGCTTTTTGTTCTCTTGCAAGGCTGCTGTCAAGTTTGTGTTCTAATATAAATTGATTATTTCAACATATTGTATATTGTATGCATGTAAATAATACCTGATTTGAAAGTGGATGTTTTCTTCAGAATATTATGACAACAAATAATAGTGAGTGTAAAATACTGCACTGGTAGCAATACATGTATTATACAAATAGTGACTGCCATTGAGGGAAATAGTGCAAAATATTTCTCAAAACATGTTCCCAGGGCTGCAAGCCGAGGGAACATGTCAGTGGACAGGATATTCCCGAGGGGAAATTTTTTCACTATTTTCTGAGAATGTGGCAGTCACTATTTGTTTCATTATATACCCCATATGTACTCTGTAAACAAAAACAAAATGCGAAGTCTTTTCATTTCAACATTTTATGTTTACAGGTTCTTATTAGCAATTAAAGGCATTCTGCATTTCAACTCCTGTAATCTCACCTATCGGGGAGGATAAAACGTACTAATGACTGGTCACATGACCTAACTGGTGCTTAGTACATTTCATCGTCCCTGATACCAGGGATTTAGGACTTTCCAGGGAATTAGTTCATCCATTTCATATCATGTGACCATGAATAAGCCAATGAACATCTAGAATACATATGAGGTATATAATAAATCAGACTTATGTCTTTCTGATAGTTTTAGACCAGAAATAGGATTAACCTATTGGTTGTCGTTCTCCTGGAGTCATTGTTACAGTTTCAAAGAAAAAATTGAATGCCATGTTGCTAATTTTGAATTTTCCCACAAAATCGATAAAGATTGCTTTCAGAAAGAATGATCTAATAGCTAGCTGATTGGCCAAAGTATAAAACCTTATTTAAATTGTGTAACCAAAAGGCCGGAGTGAAGATTTATTAGAAATATATTTTAAACTTTTTGTTATTTCATTTAACACTCAATCGATTGCTATTTGATGAAACCGCATGGATTGCAACTTTTAGATCTCTGACACATATGTTCGGGATTTCCAATAATCCCTGCAATCTTTTGCGTTGGTACATCCAAGGGTGAACGTAATACCCGGAACGTGCCTCGTTCGCAATTTCAATGTATTCTGCGTTCGGCCTTTTACAGTATACTGTTCTATCAACCAATGAAATTAACCACTACTTTGTAATGAAGACATGCAAAGCCCCGGATGATGATGTCGTTTCATTTCGTTTGATACTCATACTTAACAAGGTATTTAGTAAGCTCTTCATCAAGGTGGTTATGATGTATGAGCTAGATTGATGATGTCATGGGTTTAAGGGAGCATGCAATCTGACTAAGCAAAACTAGGCTTGACCCATTGCTAATTTGCTAAAGTAATGACGATGTCATTATCAATCAATCCAAAACATTCTCAATAATATCTAGGTAGGAGGAGTAACTGAAAAGGTGTATTTTACAATTGTACTACTTGCACCAAAGTCCAGGTAGAGTTGTCTCCCAGGGATGCAACTCCATATTTTCCAACAATAAAAATCTCGGAATGTCGTTATCTTTTGACACTATAAATTCATATAATCAACAATCCTAAAGATTCTTACCAATATCTCGATCACTTGATGTGTGTTTTGGACTTTTTGCTCGTAAATAGGACCAAAACTACCAGTAATGATTCAAATTCTAAAATGAACAAAAAGGAGACTGTTTGAGTTCGAATTTTCAAAACACGACAACTCCATATATGGCAGAATGTCGAGTTGGAACTCTGGGAGCCAATTCTCTTTTACCCATGTCTTCAATTCCTCGCATCGAATACTCACATGCACGTCACTGTCTACACTCGGAATCTAACCGGTCTATCTAGTCTTTATGGTGTAATTTTTTATTTTATTTTATTTATTTTTTATTTTTTTACTTTATGGTGTAATTAATTATTGAACAATCGTCATACTCTTGTGTCTATGTGAATTCAATCACAAAATTCTGCATTTTGATATACGACAATCTATATCACGTCCATAGTGTAACTGATAGCATTTAGGGATTGTATCCAAATGAAAAAAACGAAGTTGATTTTGACATGGTTCGTGGGCGTTTATGGGCTTAAATGCCCACTACGGCCCTCTCCTCGTAAAACAAAGCTCGTAGCCGGGGGAGGGTGTTCTGGCGCCCCTTACAAAATGATCTGCCGTATTCCACAACTGTTGATATTAAGGCACCATGCGTTAGTGCTGAACACACGTGAGTCGTGACTATGGCTTAGCGTCTTATAGTATCATTCCATCAGCGTATAATCACATGACCTAGTTAACAATGCTCTTAGTCACTTTTAGATAAAACGAGAATATCTTATATTTACGAAGTTCAATTACATATACTAATATTTCACTGATAGCTGTCTTCATTGTGTAGGTTATACTCCGTTCAAGTGCAAGCTATTGTACTTTAGAATAGAAGATCGCCTCGACCCGCATATTTATTGAAACGAAAGTACCCAGATAGCAAACGGATGTCAATTACGCTACTTATAATCAAGGAATCAAATTCAAAACAATAAAAATGGATACAATGAGTCTGTGGATGAATTGTTTTGTCCTCACGTTTGGACTGTGTCAGCTAAACCACGTGGCTTCGCAGGGTACTACGGATCACTTACAGGATATCTTTATCGGCAGATGCTGGAACTACCAGACAAAAATTCGCCCGGTAGCACCAGGGTAGGGATTTTGAGTTCTTGTACGTTTATATGACATTCAAATTCAATATGGGCATACCTTTTTAATATGATTATTGGTTCAGTTAAAACCTATTTAGAATGTCCACGTTCGGACATGGCACTGAAGTTGGGCGTTATCCCCATGGTCCTAACCAGGAAGCCAGACAAGAATCAAAACCATTCAAAAATAGTCTGGTGTATAGAATTCAGTTTCAGTTTCAGTTTTGGGGTACCGGTAAACAAAAGTCTGGTGAATCATATACGTATTCATATCAAATGTACATGTTGTCATGTGTATGCAGCATTTGAAAGACGTGATTGTGGTTGCAAATAATTGCATGCCGAGTCTCTTAATTACTCGTAAACGAAATTAAGGCGTTTGTTCAAGAAAACATTTTTGAAAGAATTGCAATACCCCCCATCCCATGTTATTTTCTTGTGAAAAATAAAGTATGAAGGCATGTGTGTATTTCAATGCATTTTCAGGAAAATGTCATTTCATTGTCAGAGGTCAATGGCAACTCCAAGAATAACTGATATTTTAATTTTTAGTCCTAAACTATGCTTTTGGTTTTGGATTATGGAATTGATTCTTGGACAGTTCGGGGTGTCTTTGTGCATTAATTTGTCATCATTTTGGTTATTACTGATTCGCTTCCACTGTGATTTTGTTTGTTTTTAGATGATTGTATTATTGTTATACTTGTGAATTTTGTAATCGTATTTGGTCTCCCCTTTTATGTCAGTTAGCTTGTATACGCGAATGCAGCTAACGCCTGTCGGCTACCGGATTAACCTAATATTTCATGACCAAATCATTTAAATATGAATAATAATTTCAGGTACTATTCATATTTAAATGAGTTGTCCATAAAATAGCAGGTAAATCCGGTAACCGACAGACGTTAGTTGCATAGACGTTAGTCGCGAATACCAACTAGTATAGCTTAGTTTCTTTGCACTGATGCGGTTGGTCAAAAAGTTGTACACTTTTAATTTTCCATAAATACGGTTAGTATCATGAAGATAGTCTTTATATCACAATCGTTATAAGTGTAATACTACTGTTTTGACTCGCCTGAAGTGATGTTCAGATTAACGACTCCTCAATTCACGACGCCAAACTGTTACGTGGCGGTTGAAGGCCCTTGGGTGGCACGTGAATAAAGGGGAGCTCCAACGTAAATTCTGCTAACGTAAAGTCTATGACCCGTTAGAATATTCTAAAAATGATATGATCAGTTCAATTAGCTATAATACAGGCAACATAAAAAGTGTGTACTTGTGCAACACCCAGACTGATGGAAGTGTGTATAACAATAGACTTGCAAAAACAAACATAGCCTGACTGGTTCTGAAACTGATTTTATTTGGACTAAATATGAATAAGTGAAATGTTGAGTTAAACTCGAACAAAGGGATCAAATGTAAACATAGATGAAAAATAATGTAGTAATATTGCGTTGACATTGGTTATTCCATAAATGTGTTCAATTAGAATTGTTTAGAAAAGTACAAAATGTAAAAATACGTACTCATATGTGTAATAATATCTGACAAATTATATTGTTTTATTTTACATAATGCTATTTTTCTTTAAAACTATGTAAGGTTGACCCGTTACTTTCTTATTTTAGTCAATATAAGAATTGTAGCGAACTCTGGCAAAGATTTTCCACGGCCTTTATGAATAAAGATGCGTGCAGTGTGACACAAGACGATTACCGTAGCTATGGAGATATCGCCATGGAAGACGTACCGAATGGCAAGGTAAAACTAAGACTCAAAATTAAGTTGTATTGCGTCCATCATTCGCTAATTTTATCAGCCTTATACGTATGAAGGCGCAGCTTGTGTTCGCGAATGCAACGTTCGGCTGTCGGCTACCAGATTAACCTACTTTTTTATGACAAACTCATTTAAATATGAATGGAAGTGCCAGATACGTACTATTATTCATATTTAAATGAATTGTTCATAAAATATTAGCCTAAGGTCGGGGGGGGGGGGCGGGGCGACAACTTGCATTCGCGAATATAAGATTAATATGTGCAAATCTAGTAATTGAATTAAAAGGATTTTAGGACGCTACACATTACCAACTCAGTACACTACGATGGGGTACTTTTTTAAAAGCATTTTACCACGTATCCCTGGCCCTCAGCATGCGTCTGACGATCGTATAGGAAGGGCAACGCTATGGGGTCAATTGCTAGGGGGTCTGGAAAGTTTAAAAAACTACGATATTGTCAAGGAGATAATCAACCAATTAATCTGTGATTTGTTTTGTAAATATTTACTTTTGATTTTACTTTTAATATACAGCTTCAATATTATACAGTATTAATGTTGATTGAAGAAGCTCCTTTGATGTCATAATATGTTTGTTGTTCAAAGCTGTTTAATCCAAAGATTATTTTTCACAGCATTCCCACTTGAAGTTACTAAAGTTAATGTTTCCAAGATATGCAGAAAGGAAACTTTATTTTTTATCATAAAATTTTGAGTCATGTAATATAAGGACAAAAGATAAGAGTTTTAAGTGAAAAATGATAATTTTGAATGATCCAAGGTATTTATTAAATAGAAAAAAACGGTAAACAATTTAGCTTCATGTGAAGAAAAGGATGAGTTGCCCAGGGGATGAGTTGTCCAGGGGATGAGTTGTCTAGGGGATGAGTTGTCCAGGGGATGAGTTGTCTAGGGAATGAGTTGTCCGTAAGCCATCGATAGAATTATGTTCCTTCGGGAATGAGTTCTTTTCTTTCAAATATTTATTTGCCCGATTAATTTTCATATAGAGTTTGTTTTGGGAAGGGACCTATCAAGTGACTCACGACTATTCAAGACGAGGTCGCCGGAAGTGGGCCCTGGGAGATATTTTGATTGGCTATTGCGTTGATCAGCTGACATGGTGTGGGCAGACAGCGGCACCTGGCGTGAACTACACTAGATGTCCAGCGTATGGAGAATGCTCATCGTATGACGATGCGTTTTGGGGAATGGCTGCGACAAAGGTATGTCTTATTCATACTAGAATAGTAATACATCTGATAAAACTTCTGTAATGGCGTTTTGTGCAGTCATTCCTCAACATCAGATAGCGGGTTGAAAACTTCTTCATGTTTGAACACCCTTGTTCATGAATTGAAATAGGCAATACGTAAAATACCATGAAACTTTAACACGTATTTCACTGGTGATCCACTCGATTACACTGGTTGCCGAAACGTTTCGTTTCGGAAACAAAATATCGGAACAGGGAAGGTACGATCTTTTTTCCTTATTTCACGCGTTGTAGGCAGAATTCCCACGACATTTTTATCACAAACGTGTATCAGTATCATATGTTGAAGAAAATGTACATATTTGCGAACAAATAGTTCAGAAGCCAACAGAATCGTCATAATTTCTCACTTAAGTTACATAAACGGTATTTCGAAAAACAGTTAAGATCTGCACTTTTAACCCATACCGTTTTTGTAATCGAGCAGATCACCAGTGTATTTTATCATTTAAACCGTTTGTGTTGCAGTATGCCATTGCTGCATCAGGTGAGGCCACTACAATCATGAACGGTTCACGCACTGATGGTAGACCCGCCTACGAAAGAGAAAGGTAATGAAAAATATATCGAGCACCTTTAGTTATCGGAATTATTCCTAGTAGACAATCATTTCTATTTAGATATATCAACATATGGGAATTGTCAAAGGCGTGAGGAACAATTTTCTTCTAGTTTGATACTCTGCCACTATAATGTCAAATTGCGTCAATAGGCCCCTTCGTTGATACATAATGCTGCATGCGTCAATATGTTGCATGCGTCAAATTTAATTTATGAAATTGCAACTCATAAGCTGCGACAGATGGCATTCAATTCGCATATACGAGTAGGTAGTTACAAGTTTCATCACCAGGTGGCTCGTTCGGGTTAGATAGCATAGCGGGTATAGTAGAAAGTTCCCTTCAACTTAAATTATCTATTTTAGCGGTTCAATGTTCATATAACCCTTATGTATCTAATATAGTTATGCAAATTAAAATATCTCCAGTAAAATAAAATGTTATCTGTCTAATACAAGAAAAGATATGTCACTTTCTGTGATTAGAGCTAGAACTAGAAGTCACATTTCCAAAAAAGAAATTTCAAAGTTGATAAAATTTTCCAAAACCATATTACTTTTACTGAATTTTGAATATTTAATAACGTAAATCAATTTCTACTCGCATCTAATCTATTACAATTTGAGGTGTTGCTTGAGTCGGCTTTTATTTTATATACTATTAGTTTTAACTGTAACATTTAATTCTTCGGTCTTCAATCATTATATCTTCTATTTTAGCTATTTTGCAAAGTTCGAACTGCCGAATCTAGATCCATCGAAAGTGACAAAGTTTCAAGTTGTAGTTCTACATGACGTTGGAAAAATTGTAAGGTAATTATGAACTTCATATATTTGTATGTGGCATTTCTTCAAGTAAACATTGTCCTTGAACGATTATATATTTTTCATTTTAGTAGAGCGGAATCCATATTATTCCGAAGCAGCAAATTCTCAAACGTGAAAGGTCAAGGCAAGATTTCAAAATCCAAAAGCTATGAAAAAATAGTTGCTTTTTCCAACAACTTTAGGATATGATTATTTCAAAAAAGCTTCATTTAAAAACATCATACATAACATGACATATAAAACTGGAGCGATTTTTTACAAAGGTCATTAATGGTTCCTTGTAAATGAAAAGTTCTGAGCTTAAAAACAGGACAGTGCTGTGATGCTATTTTTGAGTGTTGTTTGTACGTTAGTGATTTGAAAATGCGTACGATTTAAGGTCAGGGTGCACTTTGAATTTTTTTGCACTTTTGAAAAGTAAACCACTGAATATTCTAGTTATTCAAACATTCTGAATAATTATCAACTCTCAATTAATAGTCTAGGTACACTAATGCATCTTTTGTGCAAGAATGAAAGATGTAGATGATGTGTGGAATGAGTTATGTTTATCTGAAAATAGCACATGGTCATGAAATTTCATTAAAGTGCACCCTGACCTTAAATCGTACGCATGCTCAAATCACTAACGTACTAACACGCTCTCAAATAATAGCATTACAACTCACTCTTTGTATCGGTTTCTTACAATACGTACAATAATTTATTTGATTGTATTTTGTATATTATTCGGGATTGGTATAAGCGATATTGCTTTGAATAATTAAATCATGAATATGTTGTAAAAAGAACAATAAATATCATAATTCAAATGTAATATACGATTTTAAATAGTTTGGCAACGTCAGTTGTTTAATGCTGGTCGGCACAGGTGACTTAGCACTCCGTCTGATCTTAAACCGGGCATAGTGTTGGAGACTATATGGGTTCGAGGCTATATGTACTATATGCGCAATGACGTCCAATGAGAGCTTTCTGGACTTCTTCACAGCGTCAGTATCAATATATTCTGCCGCCTCTAAAATAAGTTCCAAAATGTCGGGGTACGCCTCAACTTTATTAAGATAATGCAAACAACCAAGTCTCCCTATGCGAGTTTCTTCAGCGTTTCTAAATAACTTCATCGTCTTGACTATATGAACTGTGGCTCCATATTTGATTAACAAATGAACGATATTGTATGAAAGTATGTCATTATAACACAAATACTCAATCAAGGGAGTTAGGCAAGGGTCGGCATATGTCGTAGTAACTTCATCGTTGTAGTAGTTTGGGTCAGCGCCATTTTTAAGTAATAGCTCAACAATTTTCTCTCGTTCTTTGATATTACTAGCTGTACATGCGACTAGAAGAGGGGGACATTTGTGCTCATTCAGTTCATTTACATCAGCGCCATAATCGAGCAGAATCTGAGCAATTTCCACACGACTTCTTAGTATGGCGATTTCGAGCGGCGGTGATGCATAGTTCTCGGCTCGACTCATACTGGCACCAGATTTCAAAAGCAAATGAACCATTTCTTCATTTCCGGAATAAACGGCGAAGAACAATGCGTTTTTCTGTTCGAAACGTGGTGGGCATTGTACATTAGGATCAGCGTTATGATTAAGAAGTATCTGGGCGGCTTCGATATTTTGTTCCTTACATGCTTTCATCAGTGGTGTATGGCCACTACGGCCAAATGTATTCGGATTCGCACCATGTTCGAGCAAGAGTCGTAGACAAGCATGATTCGTTAATGGACACACATTGATCTCGTGCCCAAGAAAATACTTATTGTTAGGATCTGCCCCGTGCTCGAGAAGCATTTTTGCACATTTGATATGATTGTGTTCGATAGCGAGGGTGAGTGGTTCTAGAGCTAAAGATTCAGAGTTCGCCCCACCACCAGTTCCATCGTCTCCACCATCGACTGTGTCTTCAACTTTGATATCTTCCTTCTTTTCAATTTTCGGGTTAAAATTAAGCGTTGCGTTGTGTTCTAAGAGGATCTTCATAGCGTCGTAGTGACCATGACAAGCAGCCAAGTGCATAGGGCTGTAACCGATATCATCCCGGGCGTTTACGTCACTGCCACGCATGAGCATGAACTTTGTGTACTTGTATGAATTGTCGTAAACTGCATAGTGAAGCGGTCTTAAACCTCTCTTTACTGGAAGATTTACCTGAAATACAGAAAGGTGTAGATAAAAGTTGACTGAGTTTTGACACGCATGAGTTCTTGAAGTTATTTGACAAACATATTAATTTCCTTTTCATCATCTTTTAAAATGTCCCGTTACTTTATTTTTCATATGCATGTCTTGTCTAGACCATGCTTGTCATTTAGAAATTGAATTTAAAATCGTCTTACATTGTGCGAACAATTCCCTCTTTCTATTTTGCTTGCTGACTCAGGGGCGGATCTAGGATTTTGTATTAGGGGGGGGGGGGGGCGTTTACTAGTAACTTTGAGCAAAGCGAACCGCGTGAGTGAGCGCAGCGAACGAGCACGAGGTAGGGGAGTTCTTGGGGTTCTCTTTCCAGAAAATATCGAAAATTGAACATCATTTGGTGCATTCTGACCAATTTCAGAGCATATGTCTAATTACTGGGTCTGATTTCAGCGTATGGAATGCGTTATTGACAATCTATAACCATCTATTTTGATTTCAAGTTCAAATTCTGACTTTCTAGGTGGGATGTATGCCCCCAACGCTCCCGTCTAGATCCGCTAGTGATTACTAGGCGAGAAGACCAAAGAAAATAAATATGACTTAAAAAGTGTTACTGACCCTATCAGTGCAAAGCTTAAAGAATTGTCTGCATTGTAATAAATACTGAATATTCTGTTGGCAGGTATTCAACTGAGGTAGTGAAGTAAGTTTTTGCTGATAAATTGAGATCAACGTTTGTTTATTTATGTATAAAATACCCCAAGGTAGAAATGTTTATCATGTCTGACACATTATTGCGTCTGAGAAGTTTCACATATTTAATTGTAGAGTTTTATTCCTGGCACGAGTTGAATTACTTTCTACCGTGGTATATAGCAATGGCAAATTAGATATTAACTTTTTGAAACGTTCATGGAATACACAATTTAGGTACTCAAAGTTGTTTTTCAGTTTAATCATAGACATGCATGTGCATTCCTACATATATAATATCTATGCAGCTCAATCAAAAACAATCCACCAAGGCAGATAGATTTCTCCATAGTTCCTTTCAATTTGCTTAAATGAGTGTTTTCTACTGTTCTAGCCCTTGTATACCTCCGATAAAAGATGAGTCAGTGATTTGATGCTCTACAGGTGCTCTACTGATGCTTTAGACATTACGCCGTATAAAACTACAGTACTATACCTTGCATTAGGTGTTCATGAGCAACCCTTTTGGCTTATTAGTAATGATTATGTTATTTGTTTTTATTTGTTTGTTCCTTATTAATGGTTTATCGGATGACATTAGATGTTAATAAGGTACTTTCAAAAATATATTAAACAATACAATTGGACAAACAGAGTAGAGTATCTTATGCATTTCTAGGGGTAAGTTATAGTAGAGTGAAAACGAAATGAAATGTTTTTGAGTTACCTGGGCACCAGCATTAAGGATAATTTGGGCATCTTTTAAAGGTGACCCTGCAATGATTGAATCAGCTAGCATGCGTTGGAGCTGTTCCTGTGTTATCTTCTCCTTTGTACCATATGGGTGATCAGTATCATCGTCTTCATTATTATCAACAGTAGTAGTTGTAGTAGTGGTTGGTGATGCTTCTTCTCTTTCACTGGCAGGATCATTAGTCGTTTCGTCAGCAGTGTCTCCATCACTCTTTATATTGTCGTTAGTATCTGGTGGCAAGGAATTCGAGTCTGCCATTTCGAAGAGTCGATTTCCTGAAAATAGAAACGTGTCACTTACATGTATACATAAAAGTGAATTTTGATCGGGAAAACTTATATAGGACGATAGAAAGACGATGTATTCATAATTCAGCTAAATTTGCTTGAAACATTTGACATTTGCAAAGGTAAGCACTATTTAATAAATCTTTACAATTACATTATCGCGATGAACTACACAATGCAAAATGACTCATATTTTCTCAAATCAGCTGAATAGCCTTAAAATATAAACACTAACCTTGCAGTTGTAGAGTGAGAACTTTTAAGGTCGTTGTGCCACGGCAGTTGTCAGGAAACTGATAAATCTTCCCTTAACCGCATCCCGTACTAAGTGCTGTTCTACAGTATGTATCAACTCCACTGTTTCTCGCGATTTAGGTCCGCCTTACTTCATCAGCCTTGGAATCACCTATAACAAATACAATATACTTATAATAGATGCAAGAACCTGCGTAAATGAAGACTCTCAGTAATGGCCAGATTTGATGTTCTTTATAATGAGAACCCCCATCGAAATAAGCAATTTCACAAGAGCTGACGATATGATTCGACACCAATGTGGTTAAGATATATAGGGATCATATTTGAATAATGTGCGTGTGTTTTAAACTACAGGGCTCTACAATACATTATCTACTTCTGATGATGTCTAACAGTGTCTGAATGAGTATTAAGTGTACTGTCGTCTTTTTTACACATTCCAGTGGTTCAATGAATGAAATACGACTGACTAGTCTTGTAGGCCTAGTATTTACGTGTACTTAAAGTTTAAACAAACAAAAAATGCCATAGCGTTTTACAATACACCAAGGGTATATTTGGTGCTCCATTTCAATGTCACCCCCTCCCCTCCCTCCATATTAACCCTATAATAGAAAATACATCACTTACCTGGCAAAAACGTCGGTTCCGTGTATATCAGGGTATAAGGTTAATAAACTACGTGCAACTACCAAATATACAGCCGAGTTTACCCATTGGTTTATCGCTTATAGTGAATGTCAGTACATGAGCAAATAATGTGCAGCTCATACCTATATTTAGATAAGAGATAAGTTGCATTACAACGAATGGAAAAGTTTATGGCTGCTGGGTTTATTTTTATCGTGGTAGGCCGCTATTTCGATCGGGTTAAATGTAGTGACATCTTTAATTCGTTCCATTTATTTTTCACAAGGTTTGTTTATAATTACAACATATTTAATTAATTAATGCTTTCTGGATAAGTTGATCAAAAAAATGTGATAGTGTAATTGGCATCATAAATGTGAATTGCACGTGTGTATACTATATATGTTTATTGTTCACATAACTAAATTAAAGAAACTATTTTTATTTTGAAACCTTACCAGAATGGTGTGATTGTCATCCTTGTTATAACACTATGGCGATATAATAGCACATCTAGAGTATCCCTAATACACTATTGCATGTATACTGGAATACGATCATTCTACAGTATTAGTTAGACTCTTTATTGAAAGTGTGCTTATTGCAACTTTTGATGGTTTTCGCTTCAATTGCATCCTCCTGGTTAGAAACCTATGGCTTACTGGACATTGACTTCGATAACCATTCCGGCCATAATTGTTGAATAAGTTCTTTTTTATGATCAATTAATCAACAAAGGACTTTGGAATCATCTTCTTCTTTGGAGTATTCTTCATCCCTGAGCACGTTATTTTTCCAGGGAAAGCTGCAATAACGGATCATTGGTTCAACTTAAAGAAGATATCTTGAAGCGGGGCTTTGAATGGCACTGTACGGATGATCCCGAGTAAGTTAGCGATACCTAAAAAATTGACAATTGACAATTTCATCTATTGTTGCGACTCTCATTTTCCCCTATTTTCCATCCCTTTAATTGCAATACGATGATTTGTTATGCGATTTCATAATACGGAATTCGACTTATAATTGATATGATGGATAAGTAAACCAATATAATATTCGTCTATATTATCTTGGCTTTCTCTTTTGACCAGTTTGTTTATGTGCATTTATACATTAAACTTTATGTACTTCTCTCTGCTACGTCAATGGCTTTGAAACTGTGTAATGATTTAAGCTACGCGATTCTATCATCTTAAATTTTCTGGTACTTGAACTCCAATGATATTTATTTAAATACGACTTTACACTTAGCTTTTAAATTGTTATATTACTGTTATAATAGTATGCCTTTTCTTGTTAGGGAGATGGTACATATTCTATGCGTGGACAACGTAGCATCTCCGGAGTGTACGTTAGCCAGGCGCAGCAGCCCTTCAAACAACGGACCGCATGTACATGATATTGGACAATTTAAACAATTATTTCTAGCAACTTTAATGATTATTAGTATATATTTATTATAAAATTGGTACATTTTATTAATAAAATAAAATAAATAATTCCTTAACTTATCATTTCGTCATGATTTGTTGAAGCTCACGCTAGGCAAAGTGTAAGGATTCAAAATGGACGAATTAGACAAACATTTGGATAAAATTACTAAACAATCAGAGAGATGTCTCTCAACGATTTGGTATATATTGGAGTAAAGATCGTTTTCGGACTCACTACCCAAATACCTTAAAGTTTGGCATATCGTTGACAGCAGGGTATCCGTAAATCAAAGCATTGTGTTGGTAGCCCCAAGTGGAAGTACTTTACAAAGCATGCATGTCGCACGTGATGCCGTCGTCTGAAGAACACTGGTCTTAGAATCGACTTCCTCTATGGGACTCAGAGAACACACAAGCAGCTGTCTTTTTAAGGAGTCCTCGAAACTTGTGTAAACCATACCGCTCTCTCAGTTCTGTTCTATGAAGTTTTCGTTCGACCATTAAGAAAGCATTACACCCCAGTCACATTTGTCGCACGCCGGCCGTACGTCGACCTCAGATCAATTAAATCACTGAATTTATTCGGCAAGCGTAGAAGAACTACACTCGTCTTGCGACCTCCGTACGGCGTATCCAGTTTTTTACAGGCCGCAAGGTAGCCGTGAAAAATTATAACTCCGGGTTATAATATTTGTTCATTTCTGCGGTCCACGTAGAAATCAACAGGCCGTTGCCAGACCACAGAAAGGTCCAACGGTGGCTGCACATCGGGCTTGCCGTAGACTTACGTCTCCTGTAGGCTTTAGGCTGTAGGAAACGGTTTGTATGTCAGTTTTTGGTCATATCTTTGCTGTAAACACAACACAATTACGTATACTGACTGATACTACAGCAACTTATCTTTCACTTTTTATTCGATACTATAACCTAATACCACAAACAACATTTATAAATATTACTGGTATCGATAAAATAAAAAGAAGAATTAATGGTAATCAACAGAAATTCAAAACTCGCCGTGCGGCTGCCGTAGGAAATGTGACTGCAAACGTATAAGACCGCAGAAATTCTACGACGAGCGTAAAAAATGTTACTGACCACAGAAATGATAGCTATAGACCGTACGGTCGCCGTAGGAAATGTGACTGGGGTGTTACTCACATTATGTGTCTTGTCAGATTCAACAAAAACTAGATACCGAGAATCTGACAACATTAAGACGAAATTGGGAACTTTTTTTACATGGTCGACAATATGTACAGTGTGTTAGAAAACAACGGCACCCTACGGCCCTCGGGCAGATATATTATATTGGCCTCGGGATAATCCCAATATCCTGAACCTCATATAGGATAATCTTAAAATCAGTTTTCAGATAGCATTTTACAACAATTTTATGTTTTAGTCGATTTTAATATGTGTTTTTGGTGAATTCAAAAGTAGATATTAACCCTTTCATCCACAAGGGGTCATTTATTTATTCCATGAAAATCTATTTCAAAATGACAATTGCACCTATGGCCAGGATAGATTACTCGTAGGTTTACAATGATAAATAACTAATTCAATGCCAAACTATAATTTACAGAATGTTTAAGAGTTTGAACCCAGAACGGCTGAGATAGGGATCATGAAGTGCAATGACCCCATAAGTTACAAAATGTGTTAGCATTTTGGTTTTCAGTAGATATGAGATTTGAAAATATAGTTACTAATTTTCTCCTGAGAATATTAAGATGGCAGCAAGCGTGTATTAACTTTTAATATCCCTCTTGACCTCATTATCTTTTTAAATCTGTCCATATAGGTGCAGTACTTATCAATGCTATAATTAATATCAAAGTACCACACGTAATCTAAACAAAATGTATTAATGATTCACTGCATATCAATGTTAATGTTAGGTCCATTTAGCCAAATATTTGAAATTGGACCTCATTTTCTACATGCATGATCTTTTTTATTCATTCTAATGTTCAATTCCATCTCAAACATGCATAATACAAGATATGGAGTGATTCCAATGCATAGTTTCTTAGACATAACAGTCCATATAGGCATTCTGAAACCATACATTTTCAAAAACAACCACCTTCCTATCCTCATATAAACTAAGGGGAGAAGCAAAGTCATACACCTGACCATGTAGGAGAGACACAAATATATTCTTAATGCAATTAAAGTTCATTCTCCTGTTTTTTAAGAAAAAATCAACGAAAACTATATAATATGAAATACATGTATGTTTGGTTGACACTTCAAACAGAAAATGTTATCATAACCGCGGAGTTCAAACATCTTAATATGTATACTGTTGTGTTGCTAAGGCCAAAAAATAGTTGGTGATGAAAGGGTTAATATCTTATTTTGTATTTAATGAAAATGGAGGATAGATTATTTGTGAAAATAATGGCTTTTGCTTGTACTTTCAGGGAAATGAACAAGTCAATTCTATTAAACACAAGATGATGTTGTTGTATAAAATCATATAAAATTATTATTATTATTCAAAAATTATGTTACAAAAAGGGGTGTCGTTTTTGTGTAAGACCCAGTTGTGCCAGCAAAGGCGTAAACGAGATAGATTGTCACCTGAAACTTTTCGTTGAGTTCCCAAATGGAATGTAGTTTTCATTTGCCAAAAAACAAGTCAGAATCTTTTCAGACAAAAAAGTTATAAAACATTGTGTGGGTGGGTAGCATTTTTTGTGGCATGCGGTATTAGTAACTACCCATTGTAAGAATTTACACACAAATGACCTCCGTCTGTTTCTATATGTAACTTACCACAAAGTCGGGAATATACACAATTTGTGTCACCCATTTATTGTCATATTCTAATTCAAAGCTTCTTAAATGAATAAATAAGAGCGATGACCTATTTGATTCCTCTCTCTTAAACAAACAATCACTGTCAAAAAGTAATGTAAGTGTCTATCAAGTTGTCAGTATTAAGTCAGATAAAGGATCTTGACTTTTTATGAAATGGTTTCGTTTTGTTGTATTTCGTTCCTCCCGCACGTTTTCTGCAAGTACACTTTAATTGTCATACTAACATAATTCCCCGTGATTCAGTTTTGGTTTAAAACCGTTGTATTTTGTTTATTTCCATGTATTTTGATCAAACCCCAATCCCAACCCGAAGGTGAGCCTCCGATACTTTACCAAAATAAATCAATTGTAATAAATCTTAGCTGTTTTACAATAAATATTGCATGGCATAATCACCAATTGAAACTAAATCGCACATTACGAATTGACTAATTGTAAACACCTGTATTTGAACGATTGCATGACTTTTGGTCCCTTGACACAACTCTCCTTGAACTTACGTCTATTTACGGTTACTACTAGATTGAAGTTCAAGATCTTTGTCACACACCCCTCGGCTAAATTATTGAGCGTTTATGGCAACTCAGGTTACTAAGAATTTGAAGCCATAATACCTTTGCACTATTATTAAGATGTGAACATACCGAGAATTAAGCCTAACTCCAAAGAGATATCTTTTGCGTACGGTGAGATCTAGCGGACTAAAATGAGATGGATTTTGCTTAAAACGCTGCGAATGTTATGTCATGAGCAATACAATGAAGCACAATCATTATCCTGAATTGTGCCGCGAGTATTGTGTTTGACATTATAATGTAGCCATCTGGTTAGCAAATAAACCGAACTACTCCTGTTGCTATCTGGCTCCCACTGAAAATGTAAAAGTTATGGAATGTGACTCTTTCAACCATTAGCATATACCCTAGGCTTCAAGAATATATGAGGTGCTTGTCTCAAAAGTGGTCAGCGAATTTTTAATTAGCTACGATAGTGGCGCCTTCTTTCCATTTTCTAACAAAGGATGTCATGATATATATTTTTTCAGAGCAATTGGGATGATGAATATATATTATGGAATAGAAATGTTTGAAGTAATTTCTGATTTTTTGGGCATTTGTGTGAATAGCGGTTTTGTATAATTAACAATTTGAATCCTAACGTTGGTTAAAAAGCGGGGCTGTACTACATATCTTTACGTCGTGTGGGTAAAATAAAATATTTTGATTCTTTTTTTTAATTTTTTTATAAACTTGGTTTAATAAAGGATAAAGAACCATGACATTTGTTTTTTCGAAAATCATTGATATTTTCAAAAAACAAGAAAAATTTATCATATATTTTCAGAAGTTCACTATATTTGAAAAGCCCATGACAAAAATGATTTTTAAAATAATCTACAAATAGATAATGTTAATCCAACATAAACAGTTATATAATGTGCTAATTTACGTAAATGTTTATGCTTTTCTCAAATGGGTATATGTTGATTTTAGAAGAACCCTTTAAACACCAATATTACTGGGAATCTTTTCATGTGTTATGTTGACAATTGTATTCAGTTGTAAACATCCTATGTCCATAAAGCTTCATTTATATTGTTTCATATATAGATTTGATAATTTCTAGACTACTGCTTATTTTTGCTTCTTTAATATTTTAACCATTTGAGCACTAATATGGATGACATTGTTTTCATGTACGTGTTATTTTATTGAAACAATTGTATTTAGTTGTAAACATCCACTGCCATTAAGCTTCGCTTGCATTGTTGCATATATACATTTTATAATTTCTAGACTGCGGATCGTATGCTTTTTTTACTAATATTTGAATGTTTTTAGATATATATTTTAGAATTTTGGGACCAAAATCTGCTCCTCTCCACATAAATTGAACAGTTTAGAGAGAAAACTGGATTAATTGGACAGAGATTATTTTCATTGGAATCGATATAAACGTATCCTGGCACTCACAATGACTAAGATTTGCATGCAACATTTATCATTGCGGGTAAAGGCCAAACAATCATCATAGGGAACGACAAACGCCATTTAATTTTAATATTTAGCATTTTTATTTCAGATTTTTTATAATTTTCTTTGTAATTTTCATGAAAAAGTTGCCCCGGGTATTGTTATGTCATGTTTCTTTAGCAACCATAACAATACCCACATTTTATAATTTTTCTGAAACTTTAC